TGTATCATCTCCTGAAACCGGATGTTCAGGTTCAGCAACAACAACATGGGCAACTTGATGTGACTAAATTTCTGGTAGGTTTGAAGGTTGAATATGAACCTGTCTGTGCACAAATACTGGGGGGGTCTGCCCTTCCCTCACTTGAAGAAGTATTTGCCCGTTTTAGAACATCCATTGAGTCTACAAAGCATTCTTCTCTCTTAGAAAAATTTGGTTTGGTGGTAGCTAGAGGTGGAGGCCGTGGAAATAGAGGTGGTGGTAGTGGTGGTCGTGGACTTCTAGGAAACCGAGGTGGTCCCATGTTTAACCGTTCTGGTGGCCGGAGTGGAGGTCGAGATTCAGGGGGAGGTCGTGGTAAAAGAAGTAATGCTCCTAGGAAGTGTACTTACTGTGGATTTGAGGGGCACACTGTTAATTTCTGCTATGATTTACATGGTCCACCCAACACTTGGGCTAACCATGCTATGACTAGGGGCAGTGGTACAGTTAGTGAAAATCCGCAAATGGATCAAATTCCCTCCACATCTACTGGTGCTTCTGGGAAGGAGATGGTGAGTATACCTCGTGTAGTATATGAGCAGTTTCTTCAGGCATCTTCTCAACAGAACACAACTACCCTTGCCCATTCAGGTATGGCTTGCTTGGCTTCCAAGCCTTCACACTAGATCATTGACTCCAGAGCTTCGGACCATATGTCTGGGACTCCAAATGTATTCTCTTCTCTTTCTCGGTCCTCCACATCTCAAACAGTTACTCTTGCTAACGGTCTACATCTCTCATTTGTGGTGTTGGTGATGTTGATCTCTCCTCCTTGTCTTTATCATCCGTTTTATGTTCCCAAGTTTCCTTTTAATCTTATGTCTGTTAGTAGATTAACCAAGTCACTTAATTGTCCCATAACCTTTTATCCCTCTTCTTGTGTGTTTTAGGATCTCAAGACGGTGATGAAGATTGGTGGAGGGCATGAAGCAGGTGGTTTGTATTACCTTGATGGTGGTGGCCCTCCCGTAGCCTTTTAGTCGTCGCTTAATCCACTACAATGGCACTACAAACTTGGTCATCCTTCTCTCAAAACTTTGAAGTTGTTGGTTCCTTCTTTGAGTCATCTTTCATCGTTGGATTGTGAATTGTGTCAGCTTGGGAAATATCATAAAGTCTCTTTCAGTCCAAGAGTTGATAGTCGTGTTTTGAGTCATTTTTCTTTAGTTCATTCTGATGATTGGGGTCCAACCAAAGTGATGTCATACAATGACTATAAGTATTTTGTAATTTTTTTTTATGACTTCTCAATAATGGCATGGATTTATCTTATGAAAGATCGTAGTGAATTGTTCTCCATTTTTCAAAAATTTTATGTTGAAATACGTACACAGTTTAGTGTTCATATTAAAATTCTTTGCTTCGATATTGCAAAAGACTACATTTCAACACCATTTCAGCAATACTTAGAGCATCATGGGATAATTCATCAAACCTCGTGCACCTACACCCCACAATAGAACGATGTGGCTAAACGGAAAAATCGACATCTCCTTGAAACTACTCGATCTATGATGTTAATATGAATGTCCCAAAGCATTTTTGGAGTGGTGCTGTCCTCACATCATGTTTTCTCATCAACTGGATGCCTATGTCCATTATTGGAAGTCAATCCCCCTTCTCCGTGTTGTTTCCCATTTTGTCTCCATTTCCCCTTAGTCTGAGAGTTTTTGGGTGTGCCTACTTTGTTCAAAATCTGGGCCCTGGTTTAGATAAGTTAGACGCACGAGCTACGAAGTGCATCTTCCTTGGATACTCCAGAACTTAGAAAGGGTATAAGTTCTATAACCCTCACTCTCATAAGTCATTTGTTTACTCCGATGTCACCTTCTTTGAATCGGTTCTTTTTTTCTCGGATATTGTGGTTCCTTCTCCTTCCCCTGTAGTTCATCTTTCTACCCTTGTTGAGGATCCTCTTCCTGTGGTCCCCATTCCAGTTGTAGCCCCCTTGTAGCTCCTTCACCTGTGCCAATTACTACTGAGAGGCCACCAATCCGACAAGTGTATACTCACAGAAATGCACCGGCCCCTCCTCCCATCCAGCCCTCGACAACAAATCCTGTGGTTGCTTCTTCTCCCTCAGACCTTGATCTTTCCATTCTTGTACTTCTCATCCTATTTCACACTATGTTTCCATTGCTCTTCTTTTTGCTTCTCATCACAACTTTATATCATTGTTTTCATCTGTTTCCATTCCCAAGACTATCCAGAAAGCCCTTACCTCCCCAAGGTGGCAACAAGCAATGGGAGAGGAAATCTGCCCTACAACACAACCACACATGGAAACTCACTACTCTTCCTCCTAGTAAGCATGTTGTTGGGTGTAAATGGGTCTACACAGTGCAGTATCTTCCAGATGGCAGTGTGGAACGATTGAAGGCCAAGTTAGTAGCGAAGGGTTATTCTCAGTCGTATGGTGTGGACTATAAGGAGACATTCTCTCCTATGGCTAAAATTGGTTCAGCTCGAGTGTTGATTTCATTAGCTATTATGTATGATTGGTCTCTTTTGTAAGTAGACATTAAAAATGCCTTCCTACATGGTGATCTCATTGAGGAAGTGTATATGGAGGAACCACCAGGGTTTGTTGCTCAGGGGGAGGATGGTAAGGTTTATAGACTAAAAAAGGCAATTTATGGACTGAAGCAATCTCCACGAGCATGGTTTGGTTGGTTCAGTGAAGTAGTGAAAAACTTTGGGATGAAACTGTGTTAGGTAGACCATTCTGTGTTCAGCCATGACTCAAAAGATGGGAAGATCTTACTAGTTGTGTATGTGGATGATATTGTCATAACTGGGATTGACAGGTTGAAGAAATTTCTACAAGACCACTTCAATACGAAAGATTTGGGTAAGTTGAAGTACTTGTTGGGAATAGAAGTTGCAAGGTCAAGACATAGAATTAACTTATGTCAAAGAAAATATGTTCTTGACCTACTTGAAGAAACATGATTGTTAGGTGCTAAACCAGTAGAGACTCCTATGGAATTGAATGTCAAGTTGAGTGTTGATGTAGGTGAGGAGTTTGATGACCTTGGAAGATACAAGAGGTTGGTGGGAAAACTGAATTACCTGACTACTACCCGACCAGATATATCATTTGTTGTGAGTTTGGTAAGTCAGTTTATGCAACATCCTCGGATTCCTCATTGGGAAGCGGTTCTAAGGATTGTTAGGTACCTGAAGGGGGTTCCAGTCCGTGGTTTTCTATATAAAAGTGAAGGGCCCCTTGAGATAATAGGGTATACAGATGCTGATTGAGCTGGTTTTATATCAAATAGAAGATCAACTACAGGGTATTGTACACTTCTTTGTGGCAAACTTGTAACATGGAAGAGCAAGAAACAAACTGCGGTGGCAATGAGTAGTGTAGAAGCTGAGTACAAAGTTATGGCTCATACCACATGTGAACTAATATGGTTGAAGAACTTGTTACATGAGATGGGGTTCTCAATTAACAAACCCATGAGACTACACTGCGATAACCAAACAATTGTTCACATTTCTTCTAATCTAGTCTTCCATGAGAGGACTAAGCATATTGAGGTTGATTGTCACTTTGTAAGAGAGAAAGTGATCAGTGGAGTGATAACCACATCTCATGTGAGCTCAGCCAATTAGTGGGAAAATTTCTTTACAAAGGGATTGTCTCGAGGCAGAGTAGATTATATTTGTAACAAGCTGGGACTATATGGCATATACTCTCTAGCTTGAGGGGGAGTGTTACAGTTCACAGAACAGGGGTATTTTGGTCATTTAGGTGCATCTATGTGAGAGTGAAAGATCTATTTTATTTATGTTTAAGTTGTGTCCCATCACTTATGAGGGGCAATATTGACTTTCTTGTAACCAAGCTTATGTGAGATAAATGCAAGTGGGTCAACTAGAGAGGATAGTTTTTTTCTCATCTGGCCGAACCCTTCTTCTTCTCCTCGTTCTTCTTCTTCTTTTTGTCTTCCTTCTCCTCTTCTTCTCTACTTTAACCTAGAATCCAATCAGGATTTTACATTATCAAATATTTATTTGATTTGCAAAAATAAATAAATTCCATTTTTATCCAATTAAAGAAAATTTTAATCATGTAAAAAACCCAACAGATAACAGTAATCAAGCCTTTTTCCCAATAAACAGCCATAAATCTCATGTATCAACTATCAACAAAGCACTCTTAATCATTAAAACAAAAAAGTTGTTAATCCTAATCTCGAGAGTAGGAAAGAAATTTCCCCATATAAAACTTTCGCATACACTAATATTTGCAAGCCCATAAAACCCCACTTTTTCCATTGTTAGAGTTTAATTGCTAAATACAAATTTCTTTTCAAAATATGAAGAGAATTATAGCAATCACTTCCAACGATGGCATCCAGGTATTTTAACAAATTTTCCTCTACTTAGAGTCCATTTGGTTCGCAGTTGAAATCAAAATTGGAATTGTCTATTTCGATAATCTATTTGGTTCAGATGGGAATCGGAATTAAAATTAGAATCATCAGGAATGAAATCTCATTCCCATGGGAGAGGGAGGAAATGGCCATCCTCAAATGGAGTCACCAGGAATGGGAATGAAATTCTGATTCCGGCCAACCAAACAATTGGATTCCAACTCCAGACCCCTATTCCCACAAACCAAACAGACCCTTAGAGAGGCCAGAATCTAGGAAAGAAGCATTCATTCTAAAGCAATCCTTTCTTTACTCGAATAAAAAAAAAAAATTGAAAAAGTTCCATTCGATGCCAGACCACAAGAAATGGGATGATTTCATTGTGGTTTTCCTCTATATTTAGAACTAAGTTCACCATTGAAAGCAAATCAATTTGCAAAAACTAACAAAATTTTGGAATGATGGCATTTTCAGTTCAGGTTTAACTTATTTTTATAAAAAAAAAAAAAAACCGCTGCTTGCTCCTCTCTTCCAGCCCCAGAGGCAATATATGAAGTTAATTACGAAGTAAGAATTTTTTTTTGCCAACCCATGTCCAGAAAACGGAAAGGATGTGGCCTGGCTTCCCACCCAAGCGGGAAAAAAAAGGAACAGAAAAGATCCGACATTGGCCAATCTGTTATACCAGGTAATGAAGCAATGAATACGTAACTGAGGACTTCACAGCATCTGGTTCTCTTAAGCCCCTTCCTCCTCCCAATGGCTTCTCAAATCCAATTCTCTCAGTTGAACACAGGGAACTTCAGAGAAAGCAGCAATGGAGCTGGAACTGGGACTCAAAATAACCAGAACCAGAGATGACCTCACCTCCGACCTTCGAATAACCAAGGACCGCGCCGGCCCTCTCTTCTTATTGAGAGAAACAGAGACCATGTTCATACTTACTGCTTATCTAAAAGGTATGCATCCTTCTTATACTTATTTCTCCTTTCTTTCCCTGCTTTCTATCCTTCAATCTTCAAATCAAAAGCCAATGCAGGCTTCAAGAAAGAAAAAATCAGGATTGAGATAAATGAAGATGGAACCCAAATTTTGATTAGTGGCGAAAAGCTCATTCAGGAGATGGTTATGGATAGATGGATAATGCACAGGAAAGAGGTAGAAATCAGGGGATTCAAGAAGGCCTTTCGGATTCCAGATGGTGTCATTCTGGACAAAACCAAGGCGAAGTTCAATGAAGAAGAAGCAATTCTGTCCATTTACATGCCAAAATCAGCGAAAGGAGTCCGAGGTGTTGGACTTGAGGAAATGGAAATAAAGGAACATGATTCAGCTGGAGGGAAATCTGAAACCATGCCAGAAGCTGCGGAACCAAAGAAACTTGAACAATCAGAAATGCCAGCTCTGCCCCCGGCTGTAAAAGCTCAGGACGAACTTCCTCGAGTAGAAAGCCGAAAACCAGAACAATCCCAAGAACGCCGTGGCCCAGATATCATAGAACCCATCGAGTCTGAACCTGATCAAGTGCCTCAACTATTGGAAACTCTAGATCAAGAAAAACCTGCAGCCCAACAAATAAATGAAGATGGCAAGCTCTGCAGAGATGAGGAAGTTAGAGCAGGGAGCGGGATGCAAAAAAGCAAAGCAGCAGATGTTGAACTTCCCAACAAGCACGATGAAACAAAAACAGAGCAAGATCAGCAGCTCGCCCATAGGGAATCTCCACAGACAGAAAAGGGGAGAAACAGCTTCGACCAATCCACTCAAACAGAGTTACCAGCCTCCAAAGGTTCGTTGTACGGTCATTTTATCTTTGGAGGATCGGCCATTCTTGCCACTATTGTAGCTTTTGTCGTTCATTTACGTCGAAAGAGAAAAACAGACTGAAAGTTCAGGATGGAACAGTTGACTTGATAATGGCTCAATGCAAATTAAATAAGACGTCTCCATTCGTTGATCAATCATCAATGCTAACATACTATAGGGGCCATAATGTAAGTTCCATGATTTTTGCAAAGATCTCGTGAAATTTCGTCTTTCTATTTTTGTTTTGCTAGTGTTCTAGATCCAAAATCACAGCTTTCTGCATTTTATTGATATCTTTATTATATCAACGCTATAGATTTCAGCAATAATAAATAAAATGACAGTTTTGATATTTTTTAAGCTTTACGGATCATTTATAAAATTCAACAAAAAAAAGAATTTATGTAATTAAGGGTCGAAAACAAGAAACATAATTACTCGCAAACATGAATATGAATTAAGTTTCTAACAGAATTCAGAAAACCCGATTGTCCAGCAAAAGCCGCATTGTCAAAACTAGTGCACTTTTTTTTCGTACAAAGGATGGAGAGTATGCAATTTCGAAACTCAGATCTCCTTCGTGTATGGTAACATGCTATTAAGATAGAAAAAGTAGCAAAGAAACAACAAATAAATGGAGAGATTTGGGTCTCTACATTTTGAGTACGTCTCCAGCCTAAAATGACCTGCAGTTTTCTCCACATTTAGGGCGTCCAATATGTGGCCAACTGGCCATGCAGATAGACATTTTACAGCATGATATTAATAACCAAGAGAGAACGAGAGAGCAGTCATTCATGAAGATGCGCATAAGGATTGCACCCACCATTCGAAGCATCTTGGTCCCATCATTTTGACAGTACTCTTAGCGGCTTCTGTTATTCAATTGAACCCTCTTATGATCATAAAAAATAAGCCTTCTTTGTGCTCCAAGATTGATTCAAAATTTGTAATCCTTTTAAACAAAAGGACCCACATAACAAACTTGAAGTCTTGATTATATAGTGCCTGTCTCACAGTCTGAGGCTCAAAAGTATAGCAAATTTCTCAATTTCCCTGCTTTTCAACCAAATTCGGAAGAACACTAGTACAATCGTGAACTACTACACCACTGGGAATCTTTTTGTTTTGGAGTCCAAAACCCGATTTACCTGTATCAGCTTTTCCTGAGACCTTCATGCCCGTATCCTTGACTCGGTAGATTTTTTCAAGCTACCCAATATGTTATCAATCACCTTTTCTTTGTCATCCCCAACTTGATCAGAAACAAAAGAATATTTCTTAAGAGGCCTTAATTTGTGCCCACAGTTTGTCACAACTGGGGTGCCCTTGACCTCAAGCTCAGATGAACCCGAAGTCACTGAGCTAGTTTTAGAACAATCCACAAGTTCGTCACCATTCTGTGACTGATGCTTCCTACCATCATCATCCTTGCTACTGTACCATGAATCCAAAATCTGCAAAAGGGAACTCTCTTCCTCATTTGTCCTGGCCTTCACTTGTCCCGTTACACATGAAGTGGGCTTATTATCTTTTTCCATGTCTGAAAACTCCTCTTCCGATAGAAAATTGGCATCAACATCAACTGGCTCCATCTCCATGGGTTCTTTGTTTGCTTTCCTATCCAACCCAGATACTGTGACATTTCCATGAGAACCTGTCTTAATTGGTCCAAGCTCCTCCCACACACAGTCACGATCGTTGTCCTTCCTTGATGAACCAGATAATTCACTGTCCAATTTAACTGCTTTTCCAGTTCCACTATTATCTAGGCTACAAGGAACAATGGATTCCGAGAAGCAATCAGGTGAAATGCTTCTTACGGGAAGGATATAAGTGGATTCTATCCTTACCCCCGGCATGTTCTGTAACAGGGCTGCTAGTTTTTGGTAACCAAGCATTTGATAATCCAAAACATAACCATACCTCTCCAAGAACAGCTTCTTGAAGCAACCCATGTTGAATCCATCTGGATGTTCCTCCAAAATTTCAGCCACAAGCTTCTGGCAATTGGTTAGTATCTCAGTTCTGGACTTCTCAGAAGTTCTTTTGCTCTCGGCAAAAACCGCTCCAGTATTCTTAGCCTTTCCACTCTCATGCTCTGGTCTCTGCAAGCTCGCTTGAGATGCAATATCTGAAAAGATTGAACTTAGGCCATTTGAACAAGAACCTTTTCGGGGAGATGCTTTCCTTCCAGCAGGGGCAATGATTCTAAAAGGAAAGGTTTCGGAGGGATGTTCCCCAATCCATTTTTTCTCTGAGATTAACAAATTAACCAAGCAAATGAGATCACTTGTACTGAGACTACTAAGAACTATTGGCCCTTCCTTCTGCAGCCACTCTGCCATTTGTTCCCTGTTACAAAATCAAAATAATGCAAACAATTGTAAATAGCAAAGCATGATTTTGAAGCCATTGTTTAAGTTCTAAAGCAGATGAATATATCAGGATGGGAACATGTTCGTTCACAACATCAACAACCAACATCTTATGGTCCTATCCAGGCATTTTCCAGGCCAAAAAACCAGCTGAAACAAATGATCCTATCTATTTGTCCAAACATAAATTACTTATCACCAATAAAAAATAAAGTGTATTGAATGGTTCAAGACTTTCTAGGCTTCAAATTGCTTGGCTGGAATCATATGACAGGCTCAAATCCCTACAGTTTCACTAAAAGTTAAAACATGTCTAGCTAGGAGAACCTACCACCTCCCTGCCATCCAAATGTGCCAATACATTTCTAGGAATGATGCTTATTTTCCTTTATAAGAACAATACGAACAGATGACTTATGTACTAAGGGCACTTCAGAAAGTTGGTCATGCTAGACATTATTGTCACTACACATTGCTCTCATGGGGCCATGATCTTTTTAAATAATGTCATAATAGCAAAGGGAACAGTAGCATAGTACAAGGCCACTTTGCTTATAAGATAGAAATGAAGCAATCCCCAGCCCATGTGCTCCAAAAAGAAGAGACCGAACAAAAGAGAAGAAACAATAACAGAACCAAAACCTACTACCTGGGATATCATCTCCCCAATATGAGGTTCTGGCTACTCTTAATGCTGCCAAGGTGTTAGCAAGTGAGTTGGTGGGTCCTGAAATCACATCTGAAGTCTGAACAAGATGTTCAATAAGATATGGCCTTAAATTACTTGATCAAGTACCTCAAGCTCCAAGGAGCATTTACTGATCAAAAAAAGCTCCAAGTAGCATTTTATAACTCCTCTTTGATGCAATATCTGGGAGTGCCGATTGACCTCTACTATACTCTCTCCCTTCCAAATGAAAACTTCAGTCTTAGACCCTGTAGCAATTCCAAAGTCTTCTGTAATATAAACATCTCAGTTGAACCTTTTGAGCCTTCTTGAAAAGGTTTGTTTGGACCCCTCTAAGCCAGACAAAAGAATTTGGACACCTTTGCCTCGGGTCAGTTCTCTTGTGCTTCCTTTTTCAAGGCCCTTTGTCATTCTGAAGTCCTCCCTTAGAAGGAGGTTTCGTGCAGGCCTATTCCCCCCTAAGGTCTTGGCTTTCTGTTGGGAAGTGTTCTATGGAAAAGTAAACACCCTGACCAATCTACAAAAGAGAAGACCTTATCTTTGTCTCACATAGTTGTACTCTTTGCAGGTCTCATGGTGAGCATTGTTACCATTTACTAATTTCCTGTAAGGTTACTGCAGATTTGTGGGATTAGCTCTTTTGGATCTTTGGGTGCAAGTGGAATAGGCCAGCAGATGTAAGTTTGCTTTTTGATCTGTTTACCTTTCCTTGGCACCATCGAAGAGGAAGATTAATGTGAAGGTGTGCAAGAGACTCTTTGATTTGGACAGTGGGGGAAGAAAGGAATGCCAGAATTTTTCTAGTGAAGGAAAGAAGCATATAAGAAGTAATGGAGTGCATCTTACATAGGGTTATCTTGTGGATGAAATCCTTGGACTTATTTCACCAATTCTCTTTTAATGATCTTTGGAGGCATTGGGCAGCAGTGGCAAACACCCTAGACAATCTACAAAAGAGAAGACCTTATCTTTGTCTTTCACATAATTGGTGTAGCTCCTCTAGGAAGAATAAGGTGTATATGAGTTGGGTACCCCTCCTGAAGGATTTATGAAGTTAAATTTTGATGGCAGTAGTCAAGCTAACCCAGGTCCCTCTGGGGTGGGAGGGGTTATAAGGAATGAAAGTGGTAACGCGGCTCTCTTATACTCCAACCCTCTAGGTGTGGGGGACTCCTCTAGCCCTCTAGGGCATAATTACTAGCTGCCCTTCAAGGGGTACAATTTGCAGTGCAGATAGGAGTGCAACAGCTACTAATAGAAGGTGGCTCCAAGGTGGCTGCAAAACCCACTACAAAAATGAACTGAAAAAAATTCAAATGGATAACAAGGAATATGAGTGTAAAGATACAATGAGTGGGGAGATCAACTAATGCTATTGCTGATAGCTTAACCAAGCAAGGGGCAAATAGGGAACAATTGTATTGGGCACAACTGTAATTTGATTCTTTTTTGTCTGTTGGGAGAGGTTGCAGCTTGTGCCTCTCCCTAAAAACTTGTGATTTTTTCTCTCCATTCTGTAATAAAATCTAATTACTTGTCAAAAACCCAAAAAAAATACACCTCAGTTGGACCTGAGAAAACTATGATCAACACTCCCTTGAAGTCTTTAATGCAACCATATCTTGGAGAGACCCAGTTTCCCTAAGGAGCACTCAACGAGTTTGACAGCACTGTGCAATGAGGAGAATAATTATGAAAATCTTATAATTTATGATCAGACGTTTGACTTAAATCATGAATCATGATGGTTTTGATTAAAATCTTTATGTTTGAATCCTTCTATGGAAAAACATTATCATAATAGCTTGAACCTTGTCAGATATTAGATCGGACCTTATGTCCTTCCTGAAATAGAGGGAAAAATAGAAAGAGAAAACAGAAAGAAAGAAGGAGAAGAGAAAGGAAAGAGAGAGGAAGATGAAGAGATGGTTTGGCTGCTCCCAAAAGAGGAAAAAAATCACCTACTCAGCTGACCAAAATAGTGTATATATAGATTTTGAAACAGGACACAATGACCTTTAGCCCCTCATAAAGTATGGGACACTATTGAATTTCAAACATAATAAACAAAACAACCCAATAAAATACTCTGAAATGACTCAAATACCCCTGAACTGTTGACTCTAACACTCCCCCATCAAGCTGGAGAGTATATATCATATAATCCCAGGTTGTTACATATATAATCCACCTTTCCCCAACTCAACCCTTTTGTGAACAAATCAGCCCACTGAGTTCCTGTATTCACATGTAGTGTAATTATCTCCATTAAGCACTTTCTCTCTTACGAAGTGACAGTCGACTTCAATGTGTTTTGTTCTCTCATGGAAAACCGGATTAGATGCAATATGAACAGCAGCTTGGTTGTCACAATACAACTTTATAGGACTGGTGAGAGTACACCCAATCTCATGGAGAAGGTTTTTCAACCACACTAACTCGCAGATTGTGGGTGCCATAGCTCTATATTCAACTTCAGCACTGCTTCTTGCTATCATAGTTGTTTCTTACTCTTCCACGTTACCAGATTTCCTCAAAGAAATGTACAATACCCTGTAGTAGACCTCCTATCAGACAATGAGCCGGCCCAATCCACATCTGTATAACCCTCTACTTCAAGACTTCCTCCTAATTTGTATACTAATCCATGACCTGGAGCCCCTTTCAAATACCGCACAATTCTCAAAACTACATTCCAATGGGGAACCCGAGGCTCTTGCATAAACTGGTTGACTACACTCACTACAAAGGAAATGTTTAGCTGGGTAATAGTCAAATAATTTAACTTACCAACTAACCTCCTATACCTCCCAGGATCATTAAATTCTTCACCTACATCAGTGATTAATTTGGTGTTGGGCTTCCGTAGGAGTTTCAACTGGTTTAGTGCCCAACAATACTCTCTTCTAACAAGCCAAGCACATACTTCCTCTGACACATTTATGCCATGCTTCAACCTTGCAACTTCTATACCCAGGAATTATTTTAACTTGCCAAGATCTTTTGTCTGAACGTGATCATGCAGAAAATCCTTCAATCTATCAATACACAACTTATCACTACTTGTAATTACAATATCATCGACATATACCACCAACAAGATGTTTCCAGCTTCAGAATCATAGCTGAACACTGAAAGATCAACATAACATTGCATCATACCAAAGTCTTTAAATTCCTCACTGAATCTACCAAACCAGGCACGCAAAGATTGTTTGTCTATAAATTGCTTCTTGAGTCTACACAGCTTAGTGTCCTCCCCCAAGCAACAAACCCTGGTAGTTGCTCCATATACACCTCCTCACTAAGATCACCATGAAGAAAGGCATTTTAGTGTCAAGTTGAAATAGGGGCCTATCAAACATAGCTAGTAAGGATATCAACAAACAAATTGAGCCAATCTAGGCAACAGGAGAGAATGTCTTTGTATAATCCACACCATACAACTAAGAGTACCCTTTGGCAACCAACCTAGCCTTTAAGCGCTCAATGCTCCCATCTGGTAGATAATTGAATGTACAAACCCACCTACAACATGCTTACCAGGCGAAAGAGTAGTGAGTTCCCACGTGTGATTATGATCAAGGGCAGAGAGTTCCTCTTCCATTGCTTTGCACTACTCTGGGGAGGTAATAGCTTCCTGCACATTCTTAGAAATAGAAACAATAGACAAAAATGAAACATGCTCTTGATGGGAAGTAGAATGATGAGAAATAGAAACATAGTTAGAAATAGGATGCAAAGTACAACTACGTTTACCTTTATGCAAGGCAATGGGAAGATCAAGATAAGACGAAGAAGGCATCACAAGGTTAGGAATAACTGTCAGATCTGTCAACGGAGAAGAAACTGGAGGAGGAGCCGGTACCTGTCGATGTGTATACACATGCCTAATAAGTAATCGCTTAGTAGAAACATGCCATGGAGGAGACGAGGATGCAGAACAGGAAGAAGAATGGGGTCAACAACAGGGACTGGAAGAGGAGGCACGGAGGATGAAAGAGGACTATCACTACTTGTAAAGAATGGAACAAACTCGAAAAAGGTGACGTCAAGACACACAAAGGAGCATTGAGATGATGGATGATAAAACTTATAGCCCTTCTGTGTCCGAGAATAGCCAAGAAAGATACACTTGGTAAAGCATGCATCTAATTTGTCCATCCCCGGGCATAGATTATAAACAAAAAGTATACACCCAAAAACACTTGGAATAAGAGAAAAGGGAGACAAGGTAGACGAAGGGAGATTGACCTTCAAGGATAGACAATGGCATCTGATTAATGAAG